TTGGCTCCTCCCAGCCACTTGGCAGCATCTACAGTGATAGGGACGAATTTCCCAACCCCCAAAAGTCTATACCCCATATGGAGTCAACCTCACAACTTCCCATAGTCACAACTACCAAATATCAAAAGCATACGAACTTCCAACGTTCGTAACTTTCTTGTTCGTGCTCCGATTGAAGCGATACTTGGTTCGTCGGAAAGCTCTTGAGCAGAGGAGTCACTTCAGATGTCTGCTCAAGCCAAATAACATCCGCACACACTCATAAAATCCAAACCACACTAAACACAAATTCTTGCACACGCTCACACCAGGCATGCAACGCACGAACATATGATGGGAGGCAGACAGACGTGAATGTAAATGATAGCATCACTTAACAAACTCCCCCTCTGGCTGCCTACCATCATCCCACATGCCATAGCTCAATCATGCACCCTCAATGCACACTCATCCCAGCAAGCTTCATTCACTTCCAACACTCATCCCAATGGACAATCATCTCCTTCCAACATCCCACTTCCCACATCTCCTCTTTGCTCAAATCTGCAGCACCCTCTGCAGCCTCTGTTTCAAAGCACTATCCACCAAACCATCTCATTGCAGCTCCATAGCAATACGCTATCTCATCTTCATCCATCTGTTCAGCCACACTTCCAGCCAGTACCACACTTGGCGTGTTACGGCTCGCATAGGTCAGCCTGTTAGGAGGGCGCACATCCCTTCTAGGACGGTCAGGCGGACGTTGGGCACGTGAAGGCGCATGTTGCTGCTGCTGCTGCTGCTGCTGCGGCTGCTGCTGCTGCTGCTCCTCCACCTCAGGTTCTCCCCCATCCTCAGTCACCCCTGAAATCTCCTCCTCTGAGACACTGACCTGCACTTGCCTCGAAGGCCGCTGCACCTCATCAGCCTCAATGATCAGCGGTGTAGTAGGAAGCTTCTGCTGCTGCTGCTTCCACTCCTTGTATTACAAGGACTCAAGGAACTTCACATCCCTCGACACAGTCAGCTGCTGGCTGGTCAAGTCCCAAATCAGCCAGCCCTTGTGATCCTTAGCAAGCCCCAAGTGCACACCCCATCTCCCAGAAGCTTCCAGTTTTCCCCTCTTCTCCTTTGGCACATGAAACACCACCATGCAACCAAAGGCTCTCAGCATGTTGTCTGTTGGTGCACTCCCATACCACTTGGTGTAGGGGACCCACTGCCTGTCCCCCACAGTCGCCAACACACTGTTCTTCACAAGGGCGATCTGCCACAGTGAAGTCACCCAAAACGGATCCGACAGCCCTGCACGCCCAAGAAGAGTGCGAGCACCTTCCTACACGGTCCAGTTGAACCGCTCAGCCACGCCATTCTGCTGAGGGTTGTAGGGCACTGTGGGCTGATGCTGGATCCCCTTCTTCTTCAGAACCACCTCAAAATCAGCACCAATGAACTCTCCTCCATTGTCGGTGCGGATCACCTCCTTATGTCCGCTCTCCCTTTGAGCTCTCGGCATCCACTCCTTAAGAACAGCCGCTGCCACCTCCCCCTTGGTCTTGAGAGGGTACACCCACATCGCACGGGTGTGGTCGTCCACAATCGTCAAGAAGTAGCGGCTGCCCGAGAGAGAATGGGCCCTCGTAGGGCCCACCACATCCATGTGCACAAGCGCAAGTGGTGCCTTGGCTGGTCCTGTGCTGCAGCTGAAGGGAAACTTCGTGAATTTTGTCTCAAGGCATGTAGGGCAGCTCCCAATCTCCTCTGCTGCCCCCTTCACCTCCAACCCCTTCAAGCTGCCATCTTTCACCAACTTCTGCAGCATCGGAATGTTAATGTGACACAACCTCTCGTGCCACGTCTCCCTATCCGCATCACCACTCCCAGATGAAGCCTTTGCCCATGCAGTTGTCCCATCCACACCAGCAAGCACCTCACCATGTGGCTGCTGTGGCCGCTGCACCTTCTTGACCGCATCCAGGGCCCCGTTAGTTGGTGCAGTCTCCTCTCCTCCCGCAGTTGCTTTAGCCGCTGCCGCTGCCTTTGCCGTTGCTGGTGGTTTCCCATTCCAAGGGATGATGGGCAGCTGCCAGAGGTCCTTGATGCAGCTGCTCTTCTCCTCCAAGTCCCACAACAGCAACTTCCCAAGCTTCGCACGACAGCTCGTTGGGCCGAATGTAACCTTAGCCTTGCTTTTCTGCAACTGGCGCACGGAAAGAAGGTTAGCGGACAAACCTTCAACCAACAGCACATTCCCCAGCCCCACAAGCCCCCCATTGTCTCCCATGACCTTGGCATTTCCAACACCAATGACAGGGAGCAAAGCACCTGATGCGGCAGCCACAAACTTGATCTTCACAGGGGGTTTTACCTCGTCAAAAGAATCTGCCCGTGGGGTCATGTGACTTGTGCAACCTGAATCTATCACCCAGTGGGTGAGGGGGTGCATCACAACCTTCCCAACTGAACCCACATCACCCCCATTCCCTTGCAAATCCTCAACCATGAGGAACATCCCAGGGTCGGCTTTACCTTGTGCACCATCACCTTGTGCACCTGAACCTTGCACAGCGCCACCTCGTGCACGTTCACCATTTGGCGGCTTCATGCCTGGGGGTGCCCATCCCTCAGGCCGGCTGAAACACTTGAACCATGGGTGTCTAGCCTTCTTTTAGTACCAGCACGCACCCTCCATTCGGGTGCTCCCCCTGCCTCCGGAGCTCCCATGCCCCTCATTGTAGTCATCTCGGCCTCTCCCTCCCCCTCTTCCTCTGCTACCTCTTGCAGCTCCATATCCCTCAGCAATTTTGTTGGCAGCACCAACTCCCGTGTGGCGCCTGCGGAAGTCCTCCTGCAGGATCTGCTGCCGTAGCCATTCAGGCGTCCACTTGTCCTGCTGAACGTTGAGGGTGGGGATGAGGTTATCCCATGAGTTGTCGAGCACCGAGATGATCTTGGTGCATTGCTGCATTTGCGACACCTCGCTGCCCGCCACTGCCATCCTCGCATATGTGTCCTTGATCTTGTCAAGGACCGGCTTCACATCATCTCCCGATCACATGGAGATGGCCGCCAGCTCCTTCTCGAGCACGATCACCATGGGCAGCATCTTGGGCTGAATCACGACGCGCAGTAGCTACCACGCCTTTGGACCGGAGTCGTCCAACTCAACCAGGTCCTTGATGTGCTGAAACATGTCGTTGTTGACCAATTGCAACATGAGGTCGAACAACACCGCGCTCCGCTCAATCCACCGATCCCGAGCATCTCCTTCATCGGGCATCATGTCTTCTCCCATCGCAAGTTTCAACAGCTTGTAGCGCTTGAAGACGCTCCTCATCCACCCGCTCCATTCCTCGTAGTTGGAGCCATCCAACGCCTCAATCTTGGATGGTGGCGGCTCACTCCTCTTCTCAGCTGCTTCTCTACTCCCTTGACTCATCTCCTCAGCTCCCAATAACAAGTTTCAGCTCCCCCTTTGCTGTCCACACCGAAGTCCCACAAGATTTTCACAAGTGTCGGCGCCAACGAAATTTCAACAGAGTTTCCCCTTAGCGGAAGTCACATGCAACCTCCAGAACTCGACTTAGGCACGCCCACAGACCATGGTGGGTCTAGGAGGGTCTTCACACTTCAGTAGACTCTCCACAAAGTCCTTAATCAGCTCTGATACCATTTGTTAGAGACTTAGGACGGAGTCTATGAAGATTAGGTGCCTAAATTTCTCAAATTCGTTGGTCTCTATTTCTGGACAGAATGGTTGCGCTCACAAGAAACGCCGTCGACAAAAAATTCACGGTCAAACTCAAATACTTTTTAGCCCTAGTCCGTGGCTACAATTCCCAATTTGAATCGTAGAGATAGGTGCGGGCTGAATCTCATCGAGTAGGTCCGCACGAGGAGTCATGTGCCAAGAGCTTCCCGAGTCAATCACCCAATGGGTGAGGTGTTAAATACTAAGGATGGAGTCTACGAAGATTAGGTGCCTAAATTTCTCAAATTAGTTGGTCTCTATTTCTGGACAGAATGGTCGCGCTCACAAGAAATGCCGTCAACAAAACTTTCACGATCAAACATTCACAAAACTCGGATATGTTGTAGCCCTATTCCGTGGCTACAATTCCCAATTTGAATCGTACAATAAGGTGAAGTATTCCTTGAGTTTTCAATTTCGACGCACAGAGGGGTATGCTGCCATAGAATCTTAACTCAATCACAAGAGTCTCACAATTTCAAAATCACTACACAAGAGAGTTAGAGTGGCAATAAACCAGGTGGGATAGGATAAAGACGACGAGAGGGAAGGTCCCAAGAGAGTCCCCAACCGAGTAAACCCCATGCCACACAATTCCCCTCTCCATAGGCAACCCCACTTTCACCTTTGTCACTTTCCCAACCCATGCCATCCACCTTGCCCAACTTGGCCACACTTGCCAACCTGGTTTGGCTCCTCCCAACCATTTGGCAGCATCTACAGTGATAGGGACGAATTTCCCAACCCCCAAAAGTCTATACCCCATATGGAGTCAACCTCACAACTTCCCATAGTCACAACTACCAAATATAAAAAACATACGAACTTCTAACGTTCGTAACTTTCTTGTTCGTGCTCTGATTGAAGCTATACTTGGTTCCTCGGAAAGCTCTTGAGCAGAGGAGTCACTTCAGATATCTTCTCAAGCCAAATAACATCCGCACAAAATCATAAAATCCAAACCACAGTAAACACAAATTCTTGCACACGCTCACACCACGCATGCAACCCACGAACATATGATGGGAGGCAGACAGACGTGAATGCAAATGATAGCATCACATAACATGAGGGGGTGTAGGAGAACCTTGGCAGCCATAGCGAGGTCGGTTGCGCCTTCGTTCACAAAGAAGAAGAACCCGGCCTTCCTCTCCTCAGATTTGCCGCCTTTCTCCTCATCCTTCTCCTCTCCACTAGCTCCCATGACTACCCCACTCCTCTTGCCACCATGCTGGTTGCCTGACGAAGGCGGGGTCCAACCCTTGGGTCGTTAGTAGCACTTCCGCCAACGATGTCCGCGCTTGTTGCAGTAGAAGCACACCTCCCCTTGACCCCCGCCACCATCCTCCTTACGGTTGTCCTTGTTCTTGCCCTTCCACTTCTTCTTGAAGCCACTCTTTCCACCTCCAACTCTATAGCCAGCCCCCTCCTCCGAGCGCTCCACACTCTGCCGCCGCAAGTTCTCCTCTAGGATGCGCGCGCGAATGTAATCCACGCTCCACTGGGGCTGTTGAGAGTTGAGGTTGATCGCTACGGCAGACCATGACTCCGGCAACCGTATCACGATCTCCATGCATTGCACGGGCTTCGGGTACACCACACCGCACTCTTGGAGCTTCGTGAAGATGTCCCACATCTCATCCAACACCAGTTGCATCGGCTCTCCATCAACGAACTTGATGTCCCGCAGCCTCTGCGCGAGTAGCACGATGCCGGTAGCATGTGTCGGTGAGTGCACATACAGAAGCTTCCTCCAAGCCTTGGGGCCACACTCTGGATCACCCAAGAGGTCCTTGATGTGGTCAAGTTGTCGTCCGCCAACCGCTTGCACCATGAGCATGTACGCGTCGAACGATTGCTTCATCCATGCTCCTTTCAGCTCCGCGACCTCCGGCATCTTCTCCTTCCCCTCCACCAGATCCAATAGCTTGAATTGGGTGTACATCAGCCACATGCGGAAGCTCCAGTGCTCGTAGTCATCCCCCATGAACTTCTCAATAGAGAACGCCTTCACGGGATCCACGGTTGTAGGAGATGGTGTAGAAGTTGAGGGTAGCGTAAGGGTGGCTGATTGGTGAGTCCCCACTCCTCCACCAGCAACTCCACCCTGCTCTCCAGTAATTCTATCCATCTCGCCACTAGCACCTCCGGAGTTCGTACCAACCACGTGACAACATTGGTTGAGCATTCACGACGATTCGTCGTCTCAAAGTCGACTATCCGCTCTAATACCACTTGTTCAGGATCCGTCATTTCGAGAGCTTACGACAAACTCATTTTTCAACTAAATGCAAATCCGCTCTGTAAGATGTTGCGCCTTAGGCTTAGCTACCATCTTCAACTTGAATCACGTAAAAAGATGGTCTAGAGAGTGAGAACCAATTAAAAAAGTCCAGCAGCCGCATGACTAGAATGGTGGAGGAAGTACAAGCATTAGGGAATAGAGAGTTAGAGTTGGGAACTCCAAGAGAACCATGAGAGGGAAGGAAATCTCCAAGAGCTAGTGAAGGATGGTAGGAACCTTCCTAGCAGCAAGGATGCAACCCTCATCATGAGGTCATTGAGGTGTCTCATGCAAAATCCAATCTAGTTGGATTTTGCCTAGGTGTTGCAACATTTGCAACCCATGCTAGAAACGTCTAGCCACCCCAATCCAAAAGTCAAAGTTGCCTTCCTAACCACCCAAACAAAGATCCCTTTATAGTCATGTCCAAGTAATCACCCAAATTATATATAACCCCAAAAGGTAAGAAGAAATCCATGTCTTGGAAATCTTGTAACTTTGGCGATCTTGGTCGGAATAAGGCGATCTTGGCATCGTTGAAAAGCTCTGGATTTCTCCTGAATGATCAAGCATTTAAACTTGGAGAAAAGCACAGAGATGATAATATCCAACAGCCATGCACAATGACATATGCTCATGCAAACAATGCACGCATGAATAGCACGAGCACTCGGCAGGACGTTAGGATGACATGCACTCAGAATGACATGCATCCAACAACTTCTGCTGGCGTCACATGAGCTGGGAGTGGTGGTCCCAGAGGTGCTCATACTAGAGGTACTGGAGCTACTGGGGCTGGAGGTGCTGAGCCTGAAGGTGCTCCTGCTGGAGACCCTGGGTCTGGGGGTGGTGCTACTGGAGACACTGGGACTGGAGGTGTCGGTTCTTGGAGTGCTGCTGCTGGCGGAGCTGGTCCTGGACGAGCTCGCGTAGATGGTTCTGGAGCTGCTGGAGGTGCTGGAGCTGCTGGGAGTGCTAGAGCAGCTGGTGGTGGTGGCGCTGCACAGCCGCGCGTGTTCTTCGCTCCACCGTCTCCGTCGTCTCAGCCACCGTCTGACTCTGTACCTCGCCAGGTTCTTAGTCTCCATTCGTCTACTGGTCTTCCATTACAGTCTGGCTCACCGCTGCCTGCTCCTTCTTCTTACACTGAGCAGATAGGGGGTCTTACTGAGCGTTGTGAGCCTGCGTGGCGTCCTGTCTTGCCTGTCCGTTTTGGTCGTCCTGGTCGTTGTGTTCCTCGTTCGCGTCAGCCGGCTGTCACTAGCACACACCTCGTAGTCCGTCGTCTTTCCTCTCCTCCGCAGCGTGTTCGCATGCCGTCCCCTCCTGCGTCTTCTCTGCCTACCATTCCTGAGCCTGAGTCTGACCGCACCCGTGCTGCTAACTCTACTGTCACCCATCGTTTGAGTCTGTTGCTGCGTCTACCTTCGTCAATGAGCTTGTTCACTTTGCTGCTGCCTGTCGTCTAGACTATGCCGCTAGTCTTGTTAATGAGTCTGAGTCTGTCTGTCCTCCGTCCGTCGGGGGTGAGAGTGCTCTTCACACGGACGTCCTTGAGGACACGCAGGAGGACCTTGAGTAACTTGCAGCTGCTGCGCCTCATCTCGTGTCCATGTTGATTGCACTTGAGGGAGACCCGGATGCACCAGACATCCCGACCCCACGCTCTTACGCTGAGGCGATCGCGGGTGAGTACTCCACTCAGTGGCAGACAGCCATGGATGCAGAGATGGCATCGTGGAAGTCCACAAGCACTTACGTTGACGAGGTTCCCCTTCATGGGGCGAATATCCTCAGTGGCATGTGGATCTTCACGGTGAAGCGGCCGCCAGATTCTCTGCCTGTCTTCAAGGCTCGTTACAGTTCTCGAGGTTTCAGTCAGCAAGAGGGAGTAGACTTCTTTCCGACCTTCTCCCCCACCTTGAAGATGACCACTCTTTGGGTGCTGCTGCACGTTGTCGTGTAGCGTGACTACGAGCTTCACTCTCTTGACTTCAGCACGGCTTTCTTTCAGGGCAGCCTGCACGAGGAGATCTGGCTGCGCCGCCATCCTAGCTTCACTGGGTCGTTCCCTCCTGGTACCCAGTGGACCCTCCGGCGGCCGGTCTATGGTCTCCGCCAGGCACCACATGAGTGGCACAACACACTGAGGACTACACTTGCGGCTCTTGGGTTTGCTCCGTCGATTGCTGACCCGTCGCTGTTTCTGCGCACCGACATGTCGCTGCCGCCATTCTACATCCTCGTCTATGTTGACGACTTGGTCTTTGCCATTGCTGACACTGAGGCTCTTGCCCTAGTCAAGTCGGAGCTGCAAAAGAGACACACGTCCACAGACCTGGGTGAACTGCGCAGCTACCTTGGCTTGCAGATCACCCGGGACAAAGCACACCAAACCATCACACTAACTCTGTCACACATGGTGCAGCAGGTCCTTCAGCGCTTCAGCTTCACCTGGACCTCGCCACAGCACACACCTCTGGCTATAGGCCACTCGCTCTCAGCTCCACCTTCGGACGAGTCCGTAGAGCCAAGTGGCCCGTACCCAGAGGTAGTGGGCTGCCTCATGTACCCGATGACCTGCACTCAACCTGACCTTGCGTACCCTCTTGGCCTTATGGCTCACTACGTGGCTCCTGGTCGGCACCGAAAGGTGCACATGGATGCTGCTGAGAGGGTACTGCACTACTTGTGCAGTACATCAGGCATGGGGCTCATGCTTGGAGGGCGGAGCCCAGTGGTCCTCACTGGGCACTTGGACGCTTCTTGGGTTGACGACCTGGCTACGCAGCGGTCGTCACAGGGTTACACCTTGAGCCTTGGCTCTGGCTCTGTTTTTTGGCGGTCTACACGCTCGTCCTCTGTTCTCGGCTCTAGTTGTGAGGCTGAGATCTACGCCACAGCCATGGCTGCACAGGAGCTACGCTATCTCACCAACCTGCTGACTGACCTTGGAGAGCGGCCTCATTCTCCTCCAGTGCTGTACATAGACAACAAGGCCGCCATTGCCTTGTGTGAGGAGCACAAACTGGAGCACAGAACGAAGCACATCGCTCTGCGTTACTTCCTGGCTAGAGAGTTGCAGCAGCGTGGTCAGCTTCGTCTTGCTCACGTGGCCACTTGGGCCAACACTGCTGATGTATTCACCAAGGCACTTCCGTCTAGTGATCATCAGCGTTTCTGCACTTTGTTAGGCCTTGTGCCCACTTTGCCTCACTTGCTGTATACTTTGCTTGTACTGTGATCTATGTATATATACCTGCATGCCTATTCCGCTAGGTAGAGATCACTGTGCTGTTGTTGTTGCATATATACCTTTGCACGTGGACTGGCCTTGTGGCCCTTTGCTTGTGCTCAGTGTGTGTGGTGACGTTGTGATCCACCTTGAGCTTGCTTTGTTTCTCTTGACTGGTCTTGTTTTTTTCTTTTTTTCTTTTTGGTAGGTGAAAGGGCATTATGCAACGTACAACGCAACCGTCGGTCGTAACCAGTGCTAGAGGGCCTAGGTACAATCATACCGTACCCTCGCGGATGCTTTACGGGGGTTTGTAAACCAATCGCCTGAAAAAACTTATTCTGCCCGTTAGGGAGGGCTCTGACAATGTTGCTGGCCTACTTTTTGACGAATGTTGGTTGCTTTGGCCGTTGCATAATTTTGAGAGCGGTGAAGAGCGGTTTTGGTTACAATCTTGGCTGGGTGAAATTGAACTCTCTGGTCTGGTGATGCAGTAGCTTTCCGTAGCTTGCTCTGACGATGATGGCGAGTGAAAATCGCTGAACCTGTTCTAACGCACCGCAGCTTCCCTCTTTACTCCATTATTACCAAGCCGTGACGCCATAGATTAATGTCATGAAATTCCGTTAAAGCTTCCTTCCTGTTGCCTCCTGATCCATGGTGACGACGAGTTGTCAATTGTTTGGAGTCAATCTCTTCCAGTTGCAAATATGCTTCTTGCAGCGTAGTTTCCGGCAACTTCCGAATGTAGCTCGCGTCAACCTCGTGAGCCGTTTGGTCATTTATCGAAAAATCTGCCTCATTTCCAGTGATGTAGGTTGAAAATAATTATTCGTCGCTAATCAATCCAGCAGTCATGTTGATTGTAGGAAAATCGTCACGATCTGTAGGTACCATAACCCTTGTCTCCTGAAAATCAGATTCTTGAACATAGAATTCTGGAAGCTTCCCGTCTTCTAGATCCAGCAGGTGAGAAGCTTTCGTAAACTCTCCAGATTCTAGTCTCGTCGTTTTCTGCTCGACCAAGCAAAAAGCATCTCCACACATATATTCGTCTGCCAAGAATTTTCTCGTAACTCCATTTCCATGAGTAATAAGTTGTTCTGCTCTTGCTCTCCGTTGGATGGCTGAAAACGACGATGGCATGAAAATATTCCGCTTCTTAACTTCCTTGTACTTGAACTTCCATCCTGTATTAAAGCTCCATCTTGATTTAACTCTCTTAGAGAGCAATCCTAGCAATGTCTTGAAGAGTATGTGCAGTTCGCTGAATGAAAAGCAGGGTCTTGAAAGAGCACTGACGATGACCAAATGTTCTCAGTGTGAACACAAGAATGGTGTCGACAGGATGCTCTTGAAACGTAGATCCTGAATATATCCTCAAATCCTGAAACCGACACAGTTAGCTCTGACATTCTTGCGCTCGAAAGTCCCTGGCGGAGAGCCATAGCGGAGTCTGAACATTCGATATAAATTGCAGTGCTATATAGATTGTGTGTGTACCATCACTGTGCAATGCAACAAGTAATAATTTTTTCTTGACTTGTCTTGTGACCCCTTGCTCTCCCCCACTTTGCCTATGGGGGTGTGTCAAATGTTATATCTGCTATAT